CGTAGAGAGAGAGAGAGAGAGAGAGAGAGAGGAGGATGGGGAAGTTTGATTGGGAGGAGTTTCTTTCACGTGACCAGACGTTTGTCTGAAAGATGGCATGCAGGCGGCCTCGCGCTCAAGCTGCGTGACCGAACATCAGCCGTTAGGGAAGGATAGTAATGGAGGGTAATGGATAAGAGTTGATTGAACTACATCTGTTTCAACAAAAGCATCTAAAGCGATCTCGGCAAGCTGTCAGATTTTGTGGTGCCGTAAAGTGGGTCAAACTTACAGATCTTAACTGATTAAACTGTCGGTCTTTTCTCTTTGTTAGTTTTACATGTATTACATATATTAGTAGTTATTCGCATGTGAATTTATCTATTTGTATATACTAGTAAAATACTTTCAATGACAAAAACTGCATATAAAGGTTAAAATTATTTTCCCTTGACCAGTTTTTTTCCACTTTTTCAGAAACGTGTATTTTTTCGATGAACCATAAACCTTTGTTTATTTACAGATGAGTGTGGAAAGGGTAGTTTTGTTTTTCCCCCTCCTTTCCAATATAAACTTTGACGTCAAAGGTGACTATCTATAGAATATGTACATTCACGTGCTTCTTTCCTCATGTTCCTAGAAGTGTTCAGTAGGTTAAGCTCTACAGACCGTGATGACACATCTTCCCCACAATGTAAACAGATTAGGTTTACTCGACCTGCAACACAAGTTAGCCACGTGAAGACGCCGGCACAAGAAAACTTGTTTCATTTAAAAGTGGAATACGTCGTGTATAGTTGATGTGCTCGGTCATTTCGAATCATTATAGTAACTTTTTCGAGACTGAGATCTAACCTTTAGATCAAATCTTTCATTTTACTGGAAAATTGAATCGTTTCTCTTTCTAGTTTGTTTATTTTTCAATTGTTATTTCAAGTGTATTTGGTTGAAACGTGCGTTACTCCACACTGTGTCGTTATTGACGTATCTAACTGATCGTTCAGCGTTCTAAAGTAACGTCAGTTTGAGAATCCACGAAATATTTCGAGAAACTGAACTGAAAACTTAAAAGACTAAAAAAGCTTGTGCATAAGCAACTAGTCAGTTTTCATCTATGAAATAGTATTATAGGTTTCAACATTATACAAAGTTCTGTTTCGCAAGTTATTCTGTAAAAAATCGTTTTGTTTTTTTAGATCAGAAATTCTAAAAATTTACTTAACTAACGCCCAGTACTTTCTCCTAACTCAAGTACTTCGTTGAATCAAAAACTGGAGTAACAGATGACTGTCTAAACTCGCTAACCCAATAATCATTCTACCACTGATACATTAATTTAATCAATCATCTATTCTGTCTAATTTGCGATTTGTATGGTCAAAATTATTTCGTACACTTTCTTGAAAGTTCTAGTCATTAAAATGCGGGTCTATCGCATGATGTTAAAAACTGTTTAGCCACAAAACCATATAAACGTCTAAATGAAAAAAAAAAAAACATCCTACAACACTTCCCCCTGCATTGTGATGTCCCTTGAACGATAATATTACACAAGAAAACAATGGTAGATTAAACTTGGTTCCATAATTAATAATAAACTTAATAATTAACATCAATATTCATCGATACAAAAAATTACAATCATTATGTGAAATGAATATCAATATTTTTATTTAACAAATCATTCTCGTATCTTTGCTTAGTTACTGTCTATCCAGTCACCAGATTTTTTTTCTTTTCTGTGGATTATTGTATGAAGGCAGGATGACTTCTTGCTCTTTATCAACACTTATTATTTTAGGGGAAGTCTCTTAAAGTAGATGGTCAAAGGAATCCATTGGTGATAACTTTAGTGATTGAAGCGGTCCCAACAAGAACCTTAGGCTTTTCAGCACGTTCACTTAATTTTGGCAAAGTCTTCTCCAAAGCTAAATGTTTGTCCATTTTTCTGTTGAAGTGCTTCCAAAACCTTCACAAAAGATGACCTTTTGCTTGGACCACCTGTTTTCTGCGTTTTATCATCTTGTACTTTAGCTATTTTCATCACATTGTGCTTTGTTGTAATGCAAGTCCAATCTTTGGTACTTATTTCGTAGTGCGCAGAATTTTCATGGTCTTAAACTTTCAAACTGTTTGATGTAAGTTTATCTTCGCAGTTACGTTTCCACATAACCTAACCCCCAAATCAATTCTTCCTAAATGTCAATCGCCCACATTATGTTGTGTAAAGAGGCTTCCTTTTTATGAAACTTTTACAATTTGTTGCTGTTTGCATTAATCCAACCTCTTTATTTATATTGGGAGTAGTTTCCCACCTTTCATTACCAAATTGGGTTGAACAATAGTAGACGTAGAGCTAGTGTCAATCAACATGTTATAATACTTCCAATTAATTAATTAATTAATGGAACTCGTAGACTAGTATGTTTAATAATGTCCTACTTGTATCAGTTGCGGCAAATAAAGTATTATTATCCTCAATATCCTGTCCTCTTAGTGTATTATCGGTGGTTGATTCATCTTAGTCTTAGATACAACGTCAATGTTTTCCACACGTACAGCAGTATCCTTTTTCTTCTATACTTTTGTTGCCAATTCCTGGCAGCACCTTCTTTTAATTTGCAATTGTAACACCCTCTGTTCTATGGCTTACATTGAGTGACCTGTTGTTTAATTAATTATTTTGATTTCTTCTCGATTTCCATCGGAAAGTTAACTTTCCCTGACTACTGGATCTGATGGTCACATAACTCCTGGATGGTGCTTTCTTTAAAGATGTATATCTATTTTGCTTTAGTCTAATTTGCATATCTTCATCCACCATGACATCTGTGAATTGTTTTTGTGCCAAGTAATCTATAATTCATGCGAAACATCATTAATAGGTAAGTGTGCATATTTTCCACGTATCTTCAGCAAGCTTAGCTGTCGTTTTGTTCTTCCTCTTTATTCTCTTTCTAAAATTTGTTTTAGAGACTTCCTCTTGATGCGACTCCACATCTATTTCATAAAGCAACCAATAATGCCTGGTAGTTGCCATGATTCTATTGGAAGTTTACGTAATATTGTTAAAGCTGATCCTTTAAAATGTCATCTGCAGCAAGATGGATGAGTTACTGTTCTCTAGTCCATCCACTCACCTTGGAAATTATTTTACAATGTGTATGGTATCTTTCCGTCATAATAAGTTGCTTTGTCTATTGAATGTTTTTAACTGCCCTGCTTTTACTCTGTAACCTGATGAGATAATTTTGTAGTCTAGGCAAGTCCTACAGTCAGGTGACACAGTAGTGTTAGTAAAAGTTGTCGACCACATGGGTTGTCCAAATCGATGTTAATGGTGCATGAAGTT